GTGTTGTAAGAAAATATTTGATATTGGTCGAAAATTAATTAAAAGAAGAAGAGGCAGAGGAAATCGACGGCTGGGTATAAGTTTCGTGAAAGCAACAGTGCACCGCTTGCATACAAAAACACTAGCGACCCAGTAGCCGACTTACAAACTTCTTTCTGCCGTTCTTCTTCTTCTTCTATTCGGATATTTTTAATTGTAGACAAAGCAGGTGCGCCGTGGCTATATCATAATTATTAAAAAAAAATCGAGAGTTTTAAATATGTGTTTGTTCTTGGGCAATATTTTAAATATAGAGATTTACTTTTAAAGGAAAATTTTGAAATTTTCGTTTGGTTTTAATTCCTGCTTATCTGGAGCGATTTCTATACATGGAGATGTATTATTATAATTTATATAATATTGTTCGAGATATTCTTTTATTGTATAATTGTAAATCAGCCAAAAAATAGTACAGGGTGTCCCAGAAATAAGTGCAAGTATTTTAACTGGTGGTATAGTTCAACCCCAGGAACACGCCTATGAGGTTTTTTTCGAGAAAAAAAAATTTTGAAAATACGGAATTTTTTGAAAAATATTTTGGAAATATTTTTAAATTTTATTTAAAAAACATAATTTCTTGATAATATGACATAGGTAGTAGATTAAATTTACAAGAAAGGAAATCCAGAAAAGATCCAGTGGTTCTCAAAATTTTAGCAAAAAAACATTTTTTTTTGGAAATTTTCAAAGTAAAATAACTCCGTTATTTTGGACTTATTTGAAAAACAGTAAAGAGAAAATATGTTTCTTTTATCGAGATCTACCAGCCCTGAAAATATTTGCATTTATATAAGACTCACCCTGTATATATGAGAAAGTCAAAATTAATAAATGTAAAGATAGTGTGAACAGAGACAATGGTCCAATTTCTTCCAGTTCTCTGTTCCTATTGTTTTAGTATCGGTAATATAAGTTTTGCCGCGCCTACTCGGTGCCAACTGAGCACCTATATAAACGCTAAATTTATAGATATTAGTTTACCTTTAATCATCTGCTGATGATGCTAACATGGTTAGCGAAACGCGTGTCCAGTTCAAAAGTAAGAGCATTGTGGGAAATTAGTATTTTATTTTTTAATATGTCAATGTAGCAAGCCTTATTTAGTGTCTCCATCTCCATATAAGAGTTTGTTAGTATGGTTTTTGATTTTACTTTAAGTGTAATATAGTGATCAAGGTCATGACTGTTATGATAGCGGTCGTCTCTCTATTTATTTCTCTGGACTAAAAACAGACTTTTATAGGACTTATTATCAAAATTTGTCACTTTCGCCTTTCTAATCCCATCTAAAACAGACACATATCTCTTTGAAGAGCGCCTTTGATGTGCTAATAAAGCCGTAACTAAAAGAATGTTCTTCGTTTCGACCTAAATCCATATTAATTGAAATGTTTCTTCTATATCGCGTAAAAATAGAAAAATACCAGTAACTATTAGATATAATTAGTATTATTAGTTAATTAGAGAGTTAATTTTACGAAACTAGAAGAATTTCGGACTTCCTTGTACTTGTTTTTTGTTGTATTACTGACAGGTTGTCAAATATAAAGGTATCAGTTTAAAGCTCAGTCTACACGGAAAGACTTATCGTACGATTTGCTTGGGTCAACAAAATGTTGTAGTGTTGCCAGAATTAAAGGGTTTTATAGTCAAATTTCGTCGATTGAAGAGCTGATGTCGAAGGATTTTTATCCACAAATTTTTTGAAACATACTTTATAATACTGCTGTCGAGTATCTATCACAGTAGTTTTGAACGTGTTATTTTTTTAATAAAAAGTTTATTTGAAGACATCGGTGTCCGAAAATTACCAGAAATATTTTTTTTAAAATGTTCTCCTAATTATTAAATACGCAAAATACACGAAATTTGGTGATTTTTTTACAATATCTGGAATTTTTTGTGAGGTTTAAGAAATATGGAGGGTTTTTAAGGCTCCGTTGAAAAAATTCCCTCGAAAATTTTTTGGCAACACTGCGTTTAGTTGCCGCAAGCCAATCGTACAATAAGTCGTTGCGTCTGGACCTAGCTTTAAACTTATCAATTTATAAAAAAAACGTTGTGCTTATAATTTAAAAAAAATAAAAACAATGGTCCGAAATTCTTTTAGTAAATAATACTGAGTCATTATATACAGGGTTGTTCACCACATACGACACGGAGTATTGTAGCTAAACGATGAGATTTTTACGAATTGTAAGTTTTAGGTTCGATGAAGGACTATTAGAGGTACAATTTAAAAATAATTTTACAAGATACAGAGTGTCCCAAATAAGTAAAAAATACCAAAGTTGTATTTTTTTTTAAATGGAACACCCTGTATATTATTACATTTTTAGTTTCTACGATTAAAATAAAGGTAAATTTGATTAAGATTTATTATACTTAAACCTTACCGTTTTTGAAATATTTTCAATTTTGTGAAATTGCAGTAAAAATTTTAAGGCTTCATTTCTCCAAGGGTATCAAAGTTTTTAATACTAAATATTTACTGAAGTTTATTTAATGATCAGTTATTGTGTTGCAATAATAAAAATAATACTACCTTATACAGAGAGTCTAAAAATTTATTTTAAATAATTATTAGCTTCAAACGGCAATAACTTGTTTAATTTAAATGGAACACCCTGTATATTTTACAAGAATCAGATGCACAATTTAATTGTCTATCAAATTATATTATACCATTTTTACCTATCTCTTTAAGTTTCCGTAGAAAATGCATTTTCTTGTAATTTAGAACTTATTTATCAATATACCCATGGACTATTGACATTTTAGATTATTTTTAAAGATGTACCAAATTTTTAAAGAGTACAGATACATGACAGATACTAATATGTCGATATAATTCGTTTATTTCATTAAAAAATAAAAAAAAACTGTTTAAATATTTGTTAAAGAGGTCCAATTAATATGATTCCAGTATTCAAACTACATTAACTGAGTGTTTGCGTTGATTAATAATAATTGCTCCAAATACTAAAATACTGAATTTTGTATGGGCATTAGACAGTGTGATAAAAAGTAACACCTTAAAAATGATATCTCATTTTTTAATAAATGCTTATTTATAACAACAAAGACTTTAATTTGATAACTTATTATTATATTGATTTCTGACTCAAAAATCCACATTTATTTATAATAAGTTATTAACGAACACAATTAAGTATGTCATTAATTAGTATATGGGCGGAAATAATGGTGTTATATTTAATTAATGGTATACTCTTTTATAAAGATTTAAATAGTTTTCTTTTTGCATACATACGTTTTGCTAAAAACGATAATATTACTAGTCTGTACATTTTGTACATTTGTTGCTTTAAAAACAATCTAAAATGCTTTAAAAACAATCTAATATTCCATGGATATATTGATAAATGAGGTCTAAATTATAAGAAAATGCATTTTCTACGAAAACTTGAAGGGATAGGTAAAAAATGGTAAATACAATTTCATAGGCAATTTAATTGTGCATCTGATTCTCCTAAAATATACAGGGCATTCCATTTAAATTAAAGAAGTTATTGCCGTTTGAAGCTAATAATTATTTAAAATAAATTTTTAGACACTCTGTATAAGGTAGTATTATTTTTATTATTGCAACACAATAACTGATCAATAAATAAACTTCATTAAATATTTAGTATTAAAAACATTGATACCCTTGGAGAAATATAGCTTTAAAATTTTTACTGCAATTTCACAAAATTGAAAATATTTCAAAAACGGTAAGGTTTAAGTATAATAAACCTTAATCAAATTTACCTTTATTTTAATCGTAGAAACTAAAAATGTAATAATATACAGGGTGTTCCATTTAAAAAAATACAACTTTGATATTTTATATTTATTTGGAACACTCTGTATCTTTAAAATATAAAAAATATTTTTAAATTGTAGCTCTAATAGTCCTTCAACGAACCCCAAACTTACAATTTGTAAAAATCTCATCGTTTAGCTAAAATACTCCGTGTCGTATGTGGTGAACAACCCTGTATAGCTTCTTCGATAATTCCAAAGTCAATAAAAAGATTATTTATTTCGATATGTCCTTATAGTTATAATCAAATCGTGATAAGTACCTGCACCATTTGACCTGAAGACCTTTCAGGTCGAAATATCGATGAAAACGGTACCACGAGCTCTTTCCCATGGAAGTGCCGTTTAGACACACGCGAATAATAGACTTTAACAACGAAAAAAAAAACATCCAACGATAACATCGCTTTCGTTTAGTGCTTAAACGAACCAATCAATTTATGATGTGTTGATATTCAATGTATAGGTAATTCAGGAAGAGCAATAACAATCCATCATAATATTTATATCAGAAAAGATCAAATATCTGATAATAAAATCCTATTAAATTTGTAGTTTGTAAATATAATAATTAATTATTGAGAGTTATATTCGCTTAAATAAAATTACTTCCCTAGATTTTTTTTTCAAAAACCGCCTTTAGCAATATACAGGGTGGTCCGAATTGTATGCCGGAAACTTTGGCAGCATATTCTGCAGATAAAAATAAGTAAAAAAGTTCGTATAAATGTATGTCCTAAAATGGTTAGTTTCGGAGATACAGGGTGTAGAAGTTTCATTTTTATTTCGATTTTTTCCCAAATAATTTCTGAAATAACGTCAATATTTGTTGGGTGAAAATTGGCGCCTAGGAGTTTCTTGACATGTGATCATGTGAAATTTGATTTTGATGTCAATATGCTGCCGAAGTTTCCGGAAAACAGTTTCTGACCACCCTGTATAATATAATACTCGCTAGTGCTCCCGAAAAAAAATCCGAAAATAATGTAATATCTAAGGTATTGCTCGTTAAAATACGTATAAACCTATAAACACCAAACAGAAGTTAAAAAAACTCAATGTAAATAATTTTTCCCTTCTATACTTTTAAATTTTCTGGCTAAATTTTCTTATACCATCTATTCCCTTCCCAGCTCTACGCCTATGCCGCCCTAGGCATAGGTTTCGACTCGGGAGGAGGCGATAGGACATCCTGCGGCAGGCCCTACAGGGCAGGGCGCCTGTACCAACCCCCATGCGACCTGGAACGCCTGGGGTACTGCACCCAGGCGGGACAATTGTACCCTTGGAGAGCCGTCAGACGCTTCGTCAAGGACAACCAGGGGCTCATGAGGCGGATGTACGGCGACCAGAGACACGGGCACGTGCTCAGGGCTGAGCTGGAGGAAGATGACGTCATTGGGGATGATTTTGTTGGAGATGAGAAGCGTGAGGAGGGATATATACGGTGGAGACCTGAAAGTGTGAGGTGAGTAACTTTTTTCTTATCTATTTTGGTCCTCTGGTCTCTGTAAAATATATTTTGATATTCTTCAATCGTTCCTGATAAAAAATATAAACTGTGTAAAATATATCGTGTGGCCAGTTTTGTTGCCCTGATGATAATAACAATAATTAATTTATAAACAATGTGGTTTATTTTTTTATCTCTTTTAGATTTGCCAGGTATCAACATCATGACGATATCAACAATGATTTGGACCATGATGAAGACCTAGACTTTGAACGACCCTATGTTGAAGAAGGGCGATTTCTGCGAGACGATTCAACAAACGAGGACGTGCTCAACACGAAGTTCGTTGTCTCAGAACAGGAAGCCGCCATAGCTATAAAGTTGGCAGAACTGAAAGCTGCAGCTCATTTCAAGTAAGTACTTTGAGAATTTTGATAAAAAAAAACACTAAATGTTTGAAAATATTTTTTCATAAAATAGGAAACTTTTCAGGTACGCTAATCAAAGACCTGCAATCCCTACACCAAAAGCAACAACACAAAAAACTACACCAAGTAGTACTACTACCCCTATTTCTAAAACAAAACTACTTCCGAAAACCCAAGAGAAGAACAATACAAAAGTCTTAAAAATCAACAAAATCGAATCTTTACCAACCCTGGAAGGTTCAAGCAGTACTACTACCCTCGACGATATCAACACTACAAAATGGGGAAACACTAAAGGTACTACCGAAACTACGCCTACTATTAGTACGGAAGATTCTACAGTTGTGACAACTGCTAGTAGTATCACAGGTACCTAATAAAAGCCCTATATTTTTTTGAGTGTAGCTTAATAAACTTATTTTTCATAAAATTCTTAAATTTTAGAAGAATTTTCTGAGCAATCTAGTACAGACGACACTACAACTGACCATACTACCGAATGGTCATCGAAAAAACTCTCTACCATCACGAGAAAACCAACAATAACCACTACAAAGCCTACATCTATTAAAATGACGTTGGTCAGCAATAGACTAAAAGAATCAAGCGATTCTACCCAGTCAAAGACCGTAGAAAAATCTAAAATTATTGATAAAGAGGAAGATGCAAAAGAAAATGTTAAATCACATGATGGAAACGTGGAAAGTCTGGAACCTAGTGATGTCAGCGATATCTATAGTGACGATGGTGATTTGAAAACCGCAGAAAGCAGCAATACGCCAGCTATGTTGTTTCAGGACATGGAGGAAGAGACTACTAAGAATAAAGCCCCACTAGATTACAGCAACATGAAAGGAGTGTAAGTTTTAATATGACATTTGTTTAAACCTTGTATACCTGAATAACTCTTTTTTTGTTCTTCAGAAACGCTTGTCCAGTAAAGGAGGAAGTTGTGGCTCCGTTTTGGGCCAACAACACCAGGGGAGAAGTGTTGGCACTACTGAATATGTATCCTTTTGAACAATACGTGCACTGGGAGAAGTGCACTTTTGAACACAGACAGATGTATTGCAGAGAAGGATGCCGATGTGAACAGCAATACAGACTACACAGGTTTGTGTACCTAAATCATATCTCTTTGATGAAATATTTTTGACATATACCTTTTAAAAAATATTTTTTAGGCTTCTAGCTTACGATCCAAACAACGAATGCAGAGGAATTTTCTCAGACTGGTTCCGGTTTCCTTCCTGTTGCGTCTGTAAATGTTACAATATGCCTCCAGAATTTCGCGTCACATCTAGAAGCCCTCGGTATCAGTTCACCAATCAGGAAGACCAAGAATCGCAAAATTAGTTGTTTAGAATAAATAAAAACTATATAAATATCGTTATTATTTGAAGTTGTAAGGCTCGTGTTTATTTTTTAAGTTCCAGAAAGTTGTTATATGTTATATTGTTTTCTTTTATATTAATTTTAATGTTAGAACGTAATATTAATATATAGAATTACAAACAGAATTATGTAAATACTAATATAATTGCCTTTAATCGATTTTTATATGTTCTAGTCTGTAATTATTAAAACTTTGTCTTTTTATTCTAAATTAAGTCTATCATTTTAAAACCCCGCTCATTTAAAATTTAAAAAATTGGCGCTTTTTTCTTTACCTAATTTGATATTGGCAACACTGATTTAGTTTTACGGCCTGAGCTGCCAGGGCTATCGACACTGTTTCTATTGGAGATAACCACAGAGTCAGAGTAACTATTTATAGTCAAAGGCCTGTTTTTTATCATCAGAAGAATTTCTCCCTAACCCAATTTTATGCCAAATTTTTTATTATTTTTCTTAAAAAATGGTTTAATTCAAATAATAATATTTAAGATATAAGTATTAAATTAAAAATGAATATTAATTTAAAGCACGGTATACAGAGTCTAAAGTTATCGCCCTCCGTAGTGCCACTGTTGCGAAACAACGTCAAAGTAAAATACCAAAATTGCAATTATTGCATTGCTAGTGCACAATCAAATACTAGCAAACTCCAAGAAAATAATAGTGACAATGATTCTCCACAGTTAAGATTCCGTAAAAACTTATTAAACGGCCCCAATTTGAGGGACTTCTTTAAAGCTGAGAATTTGTCACAGCAAGATCATCTTCCAGACGATGAGGTCTCAATTTTACCTATATTTTATTTTTAAAATACTAAAAATTAGTATAAACTTCCAGGTAATACCTTATTTAACTTCTAATGACTTATACGGACAGAAAAGGAAGGTTTTCTTTGAAGTGTATGGTTGCCAAATGAATGTGAACGATACAGAAATAGTTTGGGCAATTTTAGAGAAACATAACTATGAGAAAACAGAAAATCTATTAGACGCAGATGTAGTGCTTATTGGTATTAATTTTCTACAGGTTTTGTGTTAATTGTTTTATTAAAAGTTAGTTTATAGTTACATGTGCGATTCGTGATAGCGCAGAGGAACGAATATGGGGTAGACTTAATTACCTTCGAGGCATCAAGAATAAAAATTTAAAAAGATCTTCATTTAAAATTGGAATATTAGGTTGTATGGCAGAAAGACTTAAAGAGAAAGTATTAGAAAAAGATAAAACGGTTGATGTAGTTGCTGGGCCTGATGCATATAGAGATTTACCAAGGTACTTGATATATTTTTATGGATGTAAATAACAAAACATAAAAAGTATATATTTTAGACTCTTGGCCTTAACTGAGAACAATCAGAAATCAGTAAATGTTCTTCTGTCTTATGACGAAACTTATGCTGATATAACTCCAGTTAGACTGAATGAGAATTCAGTGTCTGCTTATGTCTCGATAATGAGAGGCTGTGATAATATGTGCACTTACTGTATAGTGCCTTTCACGAGAGGTAGAGAACGGTCTAGGCCTGTCAGTTCAATTTTAAGGGAAGTAGAACACTTGTCTGAGAGTGGAGTAAAAGAAGTTACATTATTAGGTAAGGTTTTTTTTGTATGAAATATATAGGGTGTTTCTAAATGAATGAATGAATGTATGTCTTTTAAGGTCAAAATGTAAATAGCTACAGAGACATTTCCGAAGACACAACAGTGAACAATATAACAACTTTAGCCAAAGGTTTCAAAACCGTATACAAACCCAAGAAAGGAGGATTGAGATTTGCGGATTTACTATACAGGGTATCCGAAATAAACCCAGAAATGCGAATAAGGTTTATGTCGCCTCACCCGAAAGATTTTCCTGACGAAGTGATTCAAATGATTAAAACTAATGCCAATATCTGTAAAAATCTCCATATGCCAGCACAGTCAGGCAATTCAGCAGTGTTAGAGAGAATGAGACGAGGCTATACGCGTGAGGCGTATTTGGAGTTGGTCAAACATATTAGAAATGAGATCCCTGATGTAGCTTTGAGTTCTGATTTTATATGTGGATTCTGTGGAGAGACTGATGAAGGTATGTATTAATAATTAATATTTTGTGATTTTTTCTGATTTCTTTTGATTTGTTTTTTAGAATTTGAAGACACTATAACCTTAATGGATGAGGTCAAATATAACACAGCATTTTTGTTTCCCTACAGTATGAGGGAGAAAACTACAGCTCACAGGAGATTCAAAGATGATGTACCAAAAGAAGTAAAAATAGCCAGGTTACAAAGAATGGTCACGACATTTAGACATAACGCCTTCAATTTAAATACTGCTCAAATAGGTATAATCGATAAAAAAATTGATTCTTTTGTTACATACTGTATATCATTTTTTGTAGGCAAAGTTCATCTAGTGCTCATTGAAGGCTTTAGTAAAAGGTCTCAAAACTATCTTCAAGGTAGAAATGATCACAATATAAAAGTAATCCTTCCTGGTTTGGATACAGTTCCATATAAAAACGGAACTAATTCTAGACTATTACAGCCTGGTGATTATGTGGCAGTTCAGATCAATATGGCTACATCACAAGTGTTAAAAGGTGAGGTTTTTTTAAAAAAACGACGTAAAAAACATTTTACTTGCATGTCAAAAATAGTTTTTTATGTGTAAAAATAATTTTTTAAGTGTTTGTATACTATTGAAAACTTCTACAGATTAGTAACGCCTCTCGATTTTTGTTATTTTTGAGGTTTTTTATTTTTTTATTGAAAGAAGCTTTCAATAAGAAGGAAAGAACTAAGAATTTTGATATAATTATTTATTTTTAGGTATTCCGTTATACTTGACAGATTTACAAGAATTCTATCAGGAAAATTTAGAAAAGTGTGCTGGAGTTTGTTGATAATAAATTTAAATTAAATATATATGAAGTCCCTGTATATATTATTTTGTTGAAAAAATTAGTATATACATTTTGTTTTAGATAAATAAACGTATAGTGATATTGTTTATAAAAATTAATATAAACAGAATTAATGTGTACTTTTTGTAGGTGTTTTTTACATTTATATTCTCTACCGAAACGTAAAAATCGAGAAAATTCGCGTAAACGCCCATTCCTAAGAATATGTTTTTTAAACTATCAAATTCAAAGCCTCCTTGATTGTACGGTTTTTTGTGTATTTAAGACACAAAAAATTGTGTCTAAAGTACAGTACGTCTGTCCGTTCTGTAGCTACGGGGTATCCGTGAGAGGGGAACGATATTCTCTCGATGTTTTTCGTAAAAAATTAGACGACGCGTCCCATCAATAAAAATTCGACAAATTTGCAAGTAGCCAATAAAATGAGTGTGCGGAGCGATTTGCGGTGACGTACTCGTCAAGTCGACGTATAAAATATATTGCTGTTTATTTAAATGTTTTTCGTCCGCATTCCTTTCATAGACACAGATCCAGCAGACGTACTGTACCTAATTGATCTAATTTTTTTATTAATAATGATTTAACTCAACATTTGAATGGAATCAGTTATTCATATGACTGTCATTCAATATTTATGTGAGGAAGAAAAATATTTTGTAAAATTTCCCTTCGCCTTGAGCATATGCAACTTTTTATACATCAATTTATTCCATCCTAAAATATTGATAAATTTGATACTAAATACTAATAATGGAATTTACATAGTGCTTTAGTAAAGTTTTTTTCTTTTGTATCTTATACAATTTTATATAAATTCCAGCATAACATAATAATTATTTCAAAGCTGGATTATGTAACTTTAATTTACAAGTAAAACGCGCCAAAAACATTGACAGTTTTTTTTCCTGTACCACGTGGTTCTCTCTGACCAATACGATTTCGTGTTTTTGTTGTTTTGTTAAAGTTAAATACCCATCACATGTAACATGTGTTGAGATGGTGTTGAGTGAACGGAAATCGGCAATCTTTTAGTGCAATCTATACAATATTTTTATTTTCTCCCTTTATAAGCAATCCTTTACTTTTATGCATTGTATAAAAATACCAAAACAAAATAAACGATGGGTGATTTACCAGACACATTGACTCCAGCAAGTGGGGCCACAACAGAATCGGAAAATAATAAAGCAATACGTATTCCTTGGGGCAGGTTGCTAGCTACCAAATTATATATCAACAATATCGGTGAGTACCACAAAGAAATCAAAGTTTAAAGCCTTATTTACACTGTTTGAGATACTTTAATTTATGTTTTAGACTTGATCGATGATTACTTTAGTTTTGGTCGAGCATTTGATTGCACAGTTTTTGTTACTAGCCAACAATGCAGGAAAGCTACAAAACTTATTTCCAAAACTCACTTTTCTATTGAAAAGAGCTTTGAAGATAATCTAATTTACATTAGGGATTTAAGTAAAAATGGAACCTTTGTTAATAAAATTTTATTAGGAAAAGGTAAACGGTAAGTACATTTTTTTTGTTTTATTTTATTGTTTTTAAGCTGATTTATGTTTGTTTGATTAGGCGAATATTGAGGAATAATGACACTATTGCTGTAACAGTACCTACTTATGCTGTATATATTTTTAAATATAACGGATATGAAGGTAATGATACCTTTTTACCTTCAAACTTGGAAGAGAAATATGCCCATATCAGGCTGCTGGGTAGAGGGGCATGTGGTGAAGTGCGATTGGTTAAAAACAGGGTAAGAACTTCATAAAAATATTACTCTGTAACGTGGTAATTGTTTAAATAAATTATTTTAGGATACTTTTGAGTTTCACGCTGTCAAGAAAATATTGTTAGGCAGAAGCAACACATCATTATTACATCAAATTAATCATCCGACTAAAATACAAAATGAAATATCAATTTTAAGGAAGCTATCCCATGTAAGTATATTCTTTCCTATACAGGGTGGCCCATAGATGTAGAAAAAAGTTACCTATGATTTCTAAAAAGCTCTCTCTAGATTGTAAACTCCTATATTCTTGTCCTTTTTTTTTGAGGTTCTTTAAATCTTGATAAGTACAGGTAAAAAATGTAAGAATTAAATTTGTACAAGAGTACTTAACAGAAAACAGTGCTTTTATAGGAGCTTTGCTAATACAAGAAAGTAATTTTTTGCTTTAAAATATTTTTTACAGCCTTGTGTAATATGTATGGATGAAATTTTCCAAAACGTTAATGACATTTACATAGTTTTGGAGTATATGGCAGGAGGTGAGTTAAACAACCGAATTATAGCAGTTCATAATGAGCTAGACGAAGACCTGAGCAAGTTTTACTTCTTCCAAATGATCCTGGCAGTCCAGTATTTACATTCCAATGGAATAGTACATAGAGACTTAAAAGTAAGGGCTTTAAATAAATTAATATCAAAGTTTCTGTTACAATAGAAATGTATTTCCAGCCAGAAAATATTTTATTACTGGATGAGAGACCAGAAACAATATTGAAGATCACTGACTTTGGTTTGAGCAAAGTGACAAACTGCGACAATATGACAACAATGTGCGGTACTTTGAAGTATGTAGCGCCGGAAGTGCTGCATAATGGCTTTAGAGATTATGGAGAGTACGGCAAAGGTGTGGATATTTGGAGTTTAGGTGTTATTTTATTTTACATGCTATCCAAAGAGCACCCTTTCAGGTAATCTTTTTTTTATCAGTTTTAGCAACTTTATCTTATGTTATTTTAATTTTCTTTAATTTTTTTCATTTTCTCGTTTTTTGTTTCGACTTATTGTTCCCTTTTCTTTGCCTTGGTTTAGTTCTTTCTTTCTTCTGCACTCTTCTTTTCCTTTGCTGTGTACTTCTCTCACTTATTTTCATTATTTATATTCTTATTTTCTTACTCTTTTTCTTACTAAGTAGAAACTTTACCAAGAAATAAGTCTTCTGTTTTGTTTCTTTTGTTTTCATATTTTCTGTTTTCATTTTGATTTTTTAATTTGCGCAAAAAATCAGCTACTTCTTGCTCTTTTTGTATTAACTTTTCAATGTTTTTCTTACTTTTTTTCGTTACTTTTAACCCTTTTATATTGTTTCTTTAATCTTTTTCATTTCTTTATAGCTTTTTTACTGTATCTATCCTTTTTCTAGTTTTATTGCTGTTTTTAACACTGCATTTTTCTTCTATATCACTCTCTTATTAATTTTTTTCTTACTCTATTTTTCTTTCAGGCCCTATTTCTTTTAACTCTTTCGTTTTATTTTATTTAACTCGTCTCTTTGTAGCTCTTGTTTTCTTCATATTTTTTCCTCTTTCTATTTTTTCTCACTGTCTTTTTAATGCTGTCTTTTCTTCTTTACACTATTAATTAATCTTTCTTCTCTATTATTTTCTCTTCTTGTTCTGTTTCTTTTTATAGCAGTTTTTGTTTGCTAGTTTTCTATATTTCTTTTTTCTTCTTTCTTAACTCTTTTTATTTATATTTCCTCTTTTCTTCTTTTTTCTCCACCTCCTCTTCTCGGCTTCTCTCATTTTAACTCTTTTATTCTTTTCCTGAATCGATTTTTTCTCTGTAGCTTTTATTATATTTCTTTCTATTTTCGCTTGCTCTCTCTTTTTATTTTTCAACTATTTTTTATTTCTCTTTTTAACTCTGTTTTATTCTTTTTCTGCATTTTTTTCTCTTTGTAGCTCATTTTTTCCTATCTGTATTTGTTTCTATCTATCTTCCTCTTCTTTCTATCTATGTATATTGTTCTATTTTATTTGTTTTTACTTTTTTCTGTTTCTTTTTTTGTCCTCTTTCTATTTTTTCTCGCTTTCCTTTTTATCACAGTCATTTCTTACAATTTTATTATTTCTTCTTTCTTACTCTCTTTCTTTTTTTCTTACTTTCTTTTTAATGTTTTTTATTTTTCTTCATATAATTTTTCTCTTTTTTTATATTTTTTTCGTCTTTATACTTTATTAGATCAAATGACGCCGCGCTACTAAGAACTGAAATAGTGAACGGTAATTATCACATGGTCGCTGAGAAATGGTCAGATGTATCAGCTGAAGTACAAGACTTAGTTAAGAAGATGTTAGTTTTGCTACCAAAGAAAAGAATCTCTAATAAGGATATTTTAGCACACCCATGGATCAAAAATGTACGTTAAAAATCAGCAAAACTTCTATCTCCAAATTTTAAATGTTTTTATTTTCAAACATTACGAAATATTAGTTTTACGCCTATGCACAAAAGTACAAAAATATTTTATTAAACTGACATTAAGTGACAAATTCTTTTTATCTATGAGATAATCACTTTTATAAAAAATTGTTTGTGACGTTTGAAAAAAAAAACATGTTCTATTTGGACTAAAATTGTACATCTAATAAAACAATATACTACTTTTAGGATCACGGAGTTCAACACAGGGCGATCAGGCTTTTGAAGAACGAGGGTTATGAGAACCCTTTAAACTTTTTAGCGACTGAGCCTCCAGAGAAGAAGTTTAAATTTAACGAATATTCTAGCTCCAGCTCCTCAGGTAACTCTAATTCTACCCTAAGATGTGCAACCAACAGTTTTAACAGTACAGTGTGCTGTTAAAAATGTTAGCTTTAAAACGGCTGTTTTTTATTATTGTTGTTCCTTTTTAGCTTATATTATATTTCTCTCTACTATGTATTCTATTTCTTAAGTATACCACGTTAAAAATATTTTATGGTCACACAAAAAAAAATATTTATATTTTACTTGAAATGCAATTTTGAACTCAAGTTTCCTTACCAAAATAAAACGGCGTCACAGTAACCTTTGAAGTGACAAACTGATAATAAAATTGACATAAAATCTTGCCAGAAATTAATATTTAAATGACATAAAGTTCTTTTTTGAAAATTGATTAGTAAATGTTAATTTCTGAGAATTTATGACACAAATTATCTTGTTAGCCGTCATTTCAAAGGTTACCTTGACATCGTTTTTTTCCCAATCATTTAATCAGTATTCTGCCACAAGTTTCATATCCTATAAATAACAACGTTAGACAAATTTTGCAAAATAGTCAGCAATTAAAAAATTAATTTTTTAAGTTTAAATGTTTTTTTTTGTGATCATACTGCTTTAAAGAATATAAGTTTTATTTTACCTAGTTATTGATAAGTAAAGTTGTTTATAATGCGACCTTACAAAGTGACTTACGAGAAATGTTTCTCTACAATTGGGTCGCATTGTGCCATAGTTTGTCCATATTTGTTATATCTGCCATATTGAAGTATTATTACAAAGTTTTTACATTTTTGTAAAGTATTTTTTATATAAAAAACAGTTTTGTGAAATTTACACATTCCATTTTGTAATAAAAAGATTTTTTGATCAATCTGTATTTTGTTTTGAATATATACAGTGTGGTCAAATGTAAATGACGTCAGTGTCAAAGCAGACTGTGTCAGTTAAGAAATTGATGATGTAATTTCAGGACAAAAATACAAAGTAGGGATGGACGATCATAGATTTTAGCTATCGATAATTATAAAATTATCGATAGTATATCGATAATTATCGATATACCGAAAAGCCCATCCCTAATCGTATTTAGTAATTTAGTACAAAAATAGTTGTATAAATATTGTTATGTATGGATAGTTATCAATAATCGATACCTATGCCGATACTTTCAATACATTGATAGGTGACGATATTTTTAGATATTGTCCCATCCTTAATTACAGAGCAGCCAGGGTTGGGTATTTAGCGTCTACGTTTTTTTTTACGTTTTGATATAAAATACAGGTAAAAAATCTGTCTTTTCAGGAAATATTTTTTATTTCTTTTATAATTTTTTTTTGGTTAAAAATTGGAGTAAACTAGAAACGATCTAAAATCCGTCTTATAGGAAGAGGTGTTGGTAAATAAAAACCAGTTTTTCTTAAATTAAATTTTAATTTCAATATATTCTTGTAAAATACAATTTTTTTGAAAAAAATTATCTTAAAAATAACATAAATAGATTCTCACAAGCTAAATTAATACGGGCTGTTTCCTTTTCAATATTATAAAGTAAAATATTCAGTCTTCTCGGCATACGATGTATTCTATAATAATTATAATTAATATAATACCGTAAAGCCTATTTTAATACCATACGATCGAAAAAAAACGGCGTCAAGTAGGCTTGGAATGGGATGACTTCGTTTTCCCAGGGATCCTTGACGTCATTTTTTTTTCAATTGTGGTATTTTTACAAAGTACTGGGTTTTAGTACCTTGCAATACAGTGGTAGTTTGTATAATAGAGATATTATAAGAAACAGATTGGCAAGAACATGTGTAAAAAAATTCAACTTTACATTGTTTCTAGTAACTGTCATTTCACTTTTGTGGTTATAATACCAGATATACCTATTTGAAGTTAATCAAGTCGGAACGCACTCAAATTTCTAATTTCGGAACGTACTTGAAATTTTCTGGACAATATGAATTGATCCCAGACACACCCTAAAATTGATGATTGGTGTGGAACTATAAAAGATTATAGCTATCTTTCTTGCACGTTTTATTGCCAGTTCTGTTCTTTTATATCTCTAATTCATAACAGTGGGTAAGTTACCACCAGTAAAAAATCTATCATAAGTCTCTTATAAAATGTGCTATATTGTGATTAGGTATAAATAAACACTGATAAGTACAGTTATCTCTAATTTACCCGTAGGTAAAAAGCTCTAGTAACAAAGCTATATAATATTTATTTATATATAGGAAAAAAATATGGGAAATCTATATAAAATCTCAGCAAAATTTTAATAACACACATCTTGCATGTTTTTTTTTAAACCTCAAAGCTTCCTTTATAATAAAATTGAGATATAAAAGTATCTTGATTGACAACCCTAACAAAAATTTTCGTTATTAACAATTTAATATGAAATGGCAGTGATGATAGCACATGATTCGAATGATTACCAGGGCAAGAAATTAGTAAAAATCACCTGTTAAAAAGAAATATTTTGATTAACTGATAAAAAATAAAGCTTACTATTTTAAAAAATAAAAATACAAGTTAAATATTCACAAAGTATGTACAAATGTACAGAGAGTATTCAAGCAGATGTCTTTTAATTTGAATAATTATCGCTATAAAATTACTAATTTTTTTAGATTAATATTTATAAATACAAAATAACAATAACTTATACCCTTGAACCAATATTCAGTATTTTGTAGGTTAGAACTTGTTGACCCCTCTGTACAAAATAATTGATTTATATTAAATATCAGACTACTTGTCTCAAACTCCACACTCGGTATAAAATTCTCAAAATTCATTGTAAAAACTCTCCAAGTTTTCTAACAGCCAAACAGAAAATTACAAAAATCTATCACAATATAGTAGAACACTTTGTTTTATACTTTGAAAGTAATTTTCTCCACTGTTTTAGACAAAATTAACATGTACAAAATTACAGGCAGTTAAGACATTTGTGAGAACATAAAAATAAATAAAGATAAATAGAATATAAACAGAGATATCTGTTTTATATTCCTTCTAGTTCTCTACTGTCCTACTCACTGTAATTTACTGTTACACTCTGTAACAATACCAACCGAGTGACTATAGTTGAAACTGCCTAAAATAAAGTGTTTTGGTGTATTTGTTGTAATTTTCTGTTATAACACTAAAAGTTATTTCTAAAACAGTCAAATAAATAAAGTCTGCACTACACTAAGCTCTCTGGACTTACTGGACTCACACGAAACACTTTCATAAATAAATTACACAACACATTTTTACCCACACGTTTAGTCTAAAAAAGTTGACGTATATTCTCGTCGAGTCTTAAGAGAATGTGACGCATCGTTACGAAGACTGTTGGTCCTCGTTTATGAGTAGGGGGTTCCCTGAAAAGAAGAACGAAAAAAAAATAGAGAAAAGTTATAAAGAAACGAAGAAGAGAAGATAGAAAAAAGTAAATAAGAGTGTTACAGACATACATACAAAACCGTACCCATTAAAGACGTGGACAAATAAAAGTAGTACCATATACCTGCACCATAAATATACCGGATGTGTCCAAAAATAGCATAGTTATTTTGGTAAAGAATTCTTTAAGGTGATGGTTATATGAGAGAAAAAAAAGAATATGTTTACCAAAATATATATGTATGTTATTCAGGGACACCAAAGGTATATTTTAAATTGTGGTGAATTATTCTAGATGTGGTTAATATGACCAATGCCTGTTTTAGAATGTGCCCTATTAGAATACAGTAGCGGCTATTACATACTAAGAGAGACAAAATCACTTTTAAATAAAAATAAAATCTGTTCAGTATTTTTTTAGATAGGAAAAATTGAGCCCTCTTAGAAAAATAATTTGCTAGCCGCCACTGTAAGAATACAAAATAAAATATATACAGTTTCATCTAATTTAATGTCTAGTAAACTTCCTACATGAAATTTAGATATTGTATATATTGTATTTTGTTACCAACCCAAAAAACTGTTTTCTCACGAAAAACATACGTGTTTACAAATTTTCAGTGCTCTTATCCACGGCCAATGGGTCGGTAGAATTGGTTTGACGTGCCTGGACAGTTCCAGCTACAGAATAAGAAAAATCGATGACGTTATAACCTCACTTTTCTACGATACACAACAGGTATACAGAGAAGACCAGGCTACTAGTAACATAGCAAGTTGCCGGACGAATTTACGCTTACCCGATTTGCGTTCGTACTCGAGGTTCACTGCCGGCTAGTCGGCTGGTCAGGCAGTAAGTAGTTGGTCGTGACAGACTAGGAATACGACGCGAGAAGTGCCGAGTATTTACTATTTTCATTTTAAGTGTTTACCATCACTTAAGGTAACATTTAAAATAAAAATACTTAAATATTTATTATTTGAGTGTGTTTACAAGCCAAAACTAAAAATAAATAAATTCTCTAAACCCCAAAAAAACTAAAATATTACTCTAAACAAAAAAAGTTATAACAAGTGTTCAAAAAGACCACCTTCTTGTGGTAGACAGAAGCCTAGGGGGTCGTAAAGTCCCCGTCTGACATTGGCTAACATATTAGGGCTAAGAGTTTGAAAAGCCTCTCGTATTTTTACTTGAAGCTCATCCAGATTATTAGCCCTATTATGACCATACACTTTGGATTTTACATAACCCCACAAAAAGAAATCATTGGGAGAAAGATCTGGTGATCTAGCGGGCCACAAAATAGTTCCACATCCTGGGAAAAGTATTGTTCAAATATTCTTGAACAATACGGGCATTGTGGGCAGGGCAACCACCTCAGCAATTTGATTACTTGAAAAGGTGGGATTTTGATCCGCGGTACCACAAATGTTTGTATATCCCGATAAGATCTATTTTGGAAATACCATTTTACAATTTGAATTTGCTCACGAACTTCGTAAACATCCATTATTTTACTTAAAAAATAAATTTTACACGAGAACTGTCGCGAGAATCTATGTATTCGTTTTAGCTATTAGGTCTGTTCGTTTTCCTGTTATTATCGATTCTGAATCGTCCTAGAACTCTCCAGCGCATGCGCAAATGAAATAATGTCTTCATATTTCCTTCTGCGCATACGCATCACAATTCTAGGACGGTTCAGAATCGGTAATAACAGGAAAACGAAAAAAGCTATTAAAACACGAATAAATACAAATTCTGAAACATTCTTATCACATATCTACCTATTTTTATTTTATCGCATTTTTTCGCCTGCTTTTATCCGGCGGACGGCTATACGCTAATTCGTCCGGTTCTGCCTATGTTACTACTACGGTGGTCCGGTCTGTATAATCACATGCACTGAGTAAAAGGCTTTTGTTCTGTGTATAGAATACCGGTTGTATGTAAATTAAGTGTATTATACTAGGCTGTAAAAAATGAAGTTTACTAGGTTCAAAAATTGCTAAGTTGTTGTCAAAATTGAAGTTGGCATTTACGACATTTTCTCTTTAACACAGTAAGAATTCGAAAAAACATTAGATAAATTATTTTATTAAAATATAATACAAATTTTTTATGATTATGTTTCATGTTTTCTTTAGTTCCTAACTAAATTTCTGGATCGTATTTCAATAAAGGAACCCACTCTTCTATATCTTTAGAATCTAAAATTTATATTTATATTCAATCTGTAATAGAAAGTATGTTAGTAGGGAGGTTACTTGACAATCTATATGAAAACCGGAAATATACCGGGTGTTTTTCAAAAGTGGCTCACCCTTGTAGGCTTGGTGCATTCTCCGACGGTGCTGCCACTATCACAGAATAACGAAAACAACTAGTATATTAATTATTCTAAAAGTGTAAGGAAGTATAAGTTATCTTTAGGTCTAACTTGTATTATAATTTATTATTCCAGTTAAAAAAACTTTTAGATGAGTTCAACTAAGGTAGCGAGCATAGTTTTAATTACCGGTTTTGCCAGTGGCGTATAATTGGGGCTATTTCGGCTATAACGTAATTTTTAAAGATACATAATTATAATTTTAGGAGATGTTCATAAATCATTTAATCACTAGTTGATTAAAAATGTATACCATTAATATTACAAATTATATTTTATCCTCTCATAGTATATGTGTCTATTTAATTTTTTGATTCTATAACGAGCACTTTGTTTACTCACTTGTTTCGTCGAACTGCTTGAATTCGTTTTGCTTTTGATCAAATCGGTGTGAGAAACTATGAAGCTATAAAATGTTTGGTTTGGTTTGGTTTGAATGTCCGGGAAAGTTGAGTTATTGAATGTTATTGCACTGAACAACGCCCTAATTACGCTCTCCTTTACGCGTTAACATTTTTTTGGCATTTTATCAACATTTGAAATTGTCACAACACAACAAGACGCCTAGTTCGAATTCTTTTTCACTTATTTTTACTACCCGAAACAGCGTTACATCACACAAACCTCGCACCTGAGTAATTTATAGTCTCAATAACTGCACTAGCAAAAAACTAAAATGCTTAAATATTATGACAAAACCACGATTTCAATATGATTTTAATGCGATCAACATGACGGCGGCGTAAAATACATACTGATAATTCCAGATTTTTGCCGTTGAAGAGCTGCGGTCGAAATTTGTTGAAATCAACTGAAATGCACCGAGCCTATAATTTTTATTTTTTCAAATAAAAAACGAGAATTGGTATGTTAGTATATGGGTCACTTTTGAGAAACACCCGATATATTCTCTGATAAAAATTGAAAATAACGAAATATCTGTCTCCAAGAATTTTTTTTGTACAGAAAATCGTACAAAATTTTACGTGTCACTCACCATGAATCGCTTGTTCAGCCTTTTCTCTGTCCTCCACCAAATAGAAGGCATTGAGGAGGAAGAAGAACCCTCCAAGAATCTCCACGAAACACGTGATGAACAAAGCGTACTGTAACGACTTAAAACTAACTTCATCCGTGGGCGATGGAGATATAGTTGTTGTTAACGTGCTATTCGTCGAACTCGAACTGTCATGTTTGGTAAGCATGATAGCGAAGGCTTCTGATAGCTAGAAAAAGGTAAAAAAATACAATACGATCGAGAAAAAAACGGCGTCAAAGTTGGCTTAGAATGAATGCTGACTTGTCATTTTCAAAGCCAACTTGACGCTGTTTTTTAGAATATACGGTATTGAGGGTAGAAAAATAGTTTTAATCATCTGCTGATGATGCTAAAGTGGTGGACGTAGATCTAAATTTTAAATAAATGTCGTGGTGTACTAGGTACTTACCACTCCTACTAAGTAAGGGCTACCTGCATCACCCAATGCATGGGACATGAGCAACTGGAAGCCTTCAGCTGTCGATCTCCTTATAGGTACAATCACGTACTGAAATTAAAAAATTCTTATACAAATATTTTATTTAGATAAATTAATTTCGATATTCCACTACTGGAATAGAGTTATTTTATCCCACTAGGGATAAAATATCACTTTAAACGCTTCATATAACTGGATAAAAACTCCCATTATTGTATGATTGTGCATAAAAATAATTATAACAAACGTATTACAATTTGGCGCCCAACGTGGGACTCAACGTAGTGATATTTTATCTAGTATGCGGTTTAATCAGTTTCTAGTGGCGAACTACTACCTACTTACTAAAGAAACACCTTGTACAAATACTTACCAATAGGATGTCGGCCACTATGGCCCAGGTGAGATTCAGGAACAGTTCTCCAAAGAAGACCAGCGCGAAACATGCTCCGGTGGAGTATCTAGCCATGAAGATGGCTATGAACACGAAAGGACAGGACAATAGCATTCCTCCTCCGCAAATATAGGCGTCTACTCTTTTCCATCGGTGCCTCAGGGTTTGAGCCAGCCAAGAACCTAACGGTACCCCTACCAAACCGGATATCATAGCTACGATACCGAATCGTAGTGAAATACTGAAAAAAAACACACTTAATTTTTCCGAGCCATAAATAATCTATCTTCTTACAATTTTATGATATAAATAATCCAAACCAAACACTAGAGTGGATTTGTATTCTCAAAAATTTACTCACGTATCCGTTTGATAATTTCCTTGAAGTGCTGAGCCCATTTCAATGTATTTTGGACCCCACCATGACAAAGCACCGGCTACGAAGGCCACGCACGTGAATCCAGCAGTGGACAGCATAAAACTCTTACTAAAAATGAATACAGAAGAAAATATATATTAGATATACCATACAGCCTGACCAAATATGAGTGAAATCATTTAAATACTTTTGTAACGTTCTGTGTTACTTAACTATGTCGCGCCTGTCTTAAAGAAAATGTCTGAGCGAATTCTAAAGATATCTGACTTACTTTTTGACAATATGTTTGATGTCTTCTGTCCAAGAAGTGGCCTCCATGTGACCACTCCCTTCACTAGCTCCTCTTTCCGGTTCTTTGAGGAAGAAAACGATGACTACAACGGCGATAGCCCCTAGGCCAGGGGTCACCCTCAGGGCCCAGTGCCATTTGCCGAAAAGTTTGGCAGTTTCTGCTCCCACTATGTAGCCCAAACCACTGCAAATAAAAATAAGTTATAGAGGTGAGCCACTTTTGTAAATCACCCGATTAAAATGCTTGCACTTATTTAAGTGACACCCTGTACAGTAAATACGTAAAAGATGGAAGTGCAAAGAAATCAATGAGCAAGTAAACGAAACATGATCTCGCTTGAACCACGCCGTGCTAAGAGTGTATGTTTAAAAAATGAAGAAGCCATCGACTTTGAAATATAATACCACTTAAGAGCGACTTAGTCTCGTCTTTCACATTTTCAGCGGTTCCATTGAGACTACTTTCCGCGTAGGATCAAAAGAATATCCTACTAGGGATGTGCAATAATATCGATATTACAAAATATCAATATACCAAACTATCGATACTTTTTAAATTACCCCAGTCTCGTCTTTTACATTCCCATTGGGACTACTTTCCACGTAAGAAGAAAAGGAAAAAGCCTATTAGGGATGTGCAATAATATCGATATTTTAAAATATCGATATATCAAGATTTCAATAATTTTTAAATATAATTGCCTATTGAACTGTTTCTTCTAACGAAGAAATTCACAACCAAAGTTTGGTTCAAAATTGTTCCACTGTTTCCGTGACAGACTCAAAGCTAGAAATTGCTGTACGATATCAGAAAAATAAGTAAACCTAGAGGCGCTTTAAAATATTTGTTACAAAAAATAAGGAGCGATCAACAATGATTGAAATAGTTGTCATAACTATTTATACGAAAATGCCTTTCTATGTTGACTTATTTCTCTGAGCTCCGCGATCTTAACCTACCTCAAAACGAGTAGATTATATTGTAAAAACATCATTATTACAGATATTTCACAAAATACATATATCGATATTTTGTGTAAATATTATCGATAAGTTTTAAGTACGGACATCCCTAAATGTGACCTAAATGGCGGAAAGTACCTACAGAGATCAGATTAACATATTTAAACAAACAATAAACGTACCCAAGAAAACCGGTACTCTGCACCAACATACTAAATTCTTCAAGAACTATAAAAAGACAACAATGTTATAATTTATAATACTCGTGTAGACCAAGTAAATATTCTGTGTTTACTTTTTTAGTTATTATTAATAATCATAATACTATTTTCTTTGAAGGTACAATTGCGAAAATAAGTTAAAAATGAGCGAAGCATAATAGAATACAGTTGAAAATTGGAAGACAATGATTATGAAAAGAAAAATAAAAAAATATATATTTAAAATTAATTTTAAATAAGGTTTGAAACTCGGCCATCTTCCGCAATTGATAGCTCACGTCACGCACGCTTCTAGCTTATTTGTAACTACTAGCTAAATATGTATAAAAAATGTAGTTACCTTCCTACAGGGATGGCAAAATAGAATAATGCCAACATTTTTGAACGCATATCTCCAACGAAGAGATCGCTGAGTATAGTAGGAGCTATGGTAGAATAGCTGGCCTCTCCTATGCCAACCATCGCCCGAAAGAGTAGGAACCACCAATAGTTCTGCAATATAACATAAATATTGTCAATATCATCAAAAATAAATACATATCTCTTATTATGACATTTACTAAATGCGATTATTATTTATTATAAAATAATTCAACAAACATTATAACCAATTAACTTACAGTCATAAAAGAACCAGCCAGGGTGGTTAGACTCCACAAAAACACACCGAACGCCATCAGGTATTTCCTGCTGTATCTGTCACCCAAAAATCCAAACAGTGGACCAAAGGCCATATAGAATACGATGAAGGCAGTCTGTAGAAGCCCACCTTGATCATTGTTAATGTTCAGATCTTTTTGTATATCTGCTAACACTCCTGAAACAAAAAATCATGTGTCAAATATGCATTATGTTTCAATATATGTAGTAATTATATCAATTACTACGTGTTACGTAAAAACTGTTACTTAATCCAATTTAAACGAGATGAATTTATCATTTGAGTGGCTGCAATTTTGGACTACTTAATTAAAAGCAAGTGTGAAGCGTAATTTAACAAATTGAGCTCCAAGACGAAGAAGGAACACTTAATCAAGTGAAGAGCCCATTATATTAAAGAAAATCCTTTATGTAAAGGTGCCTACATTCGCTTATATATAACACCTTATTTTCTAAATAAAATTTGCTTGAAAAAATCAGTTTTTGCAGTTTAAAAAATACTTAAATGTCGTATAAAAGGTTAGAAAAAAGTATTTAGATTTTTTATACCATGGTTTTAACTAATAGTCCTTTCAATATGCCTATTATTAATAATTGTTATTTATTATGGCTAATTATATTATTAAATATTCAAGTATTTTCTTCAATTTTCAACACCCATCTATGTCGAGGTTATCAACATTTTTTCCATGTAGCTGTGTTGAATAAATAGTTAATTAGACATTATTAAGGAACAAACATGTATTTTATCAGTGTTTTGTGGGTTCTCTGCCAAAATAAATTACAATACAACGTTCAAGTGCAAATGAACTTTTAAATCTGTATTTTAAAAAACTCAATACAATTTGTGGTAGGGAATCACAATAAATAATAAGTTTAGATAAACTAATCACGATTAGTTTCAAGAATTTGGTTAAATAAGTGCTGAATTGTTTAATAACAGATAATATCTGTAGCATTGTTTATAATGTAACATTATGATGTTTGATATGAAAATTATCATACTTCAAAATTTTCCAAAATATTGTTGATTTTAAAACTATATTTACACCAACAAGTCCAATTTTGAAGATCATTAGCACAATATTGTGGGAATTTTGAGAGTTTTAATTTATTTTTTTGAATTTCCTTTTGTTGGGCTTTGTTTAGATAATTATATACAGGGTGTTTCAAAGCAAATGCGAAAAACTTTAGGGGGTGATTCCTTGTTCAAAATAAAGGGTAGTTTGCTTTGTAAACGTTGGGTCAAAAGTCAACCATTAGGGAGATATCGCGGTACAAAGATGGCGGAAAAATAATGTTTTTATTTTTTATCTTGAAAACAAAAAGAGATAGACTTATGAAATTTTATGGAAGCATTACTGTTATGAAAACACACTTTCTGGTAATTTTTTCACTTTTTTAAAATGAGTGGAAGGGGTTGAAATAAACTACCCCTATCATTCTTGTTAACGAAATTAAAAGAAAAATCTTATCAAACACATGCAAATGCTTTAATTTGGATAGTTTAGTTTGTTTAGAAACTTTTTTATCTCTTGTGTTTTTTTGATAAAACTCACCGATTTGAAATTAAAAAATAAAATGTAAAGCATTACATGTCAGGACAAAAAACATTTGTAGATTAAGAATCTACTGATAATAACGATAATAATAATCATCTAGATAATAACGTATTGCAGTAGAGTAATGTCAAAATAAAATAATATTAGGAAGATCCTAAAAGTAACAGCGGCCGACTAGATTTTTTCCTAAAAAAATTACAGCAGCCCACTAGATTCTTTATCAGAAAATGTTTTTTATCCTGACATGTAATGCTTTACATTTTATTTTTTAATTTCAAATCGGTCAATATTATTAAAAAAAATACAAGAGATAAAAAAGTTTCTAAACAAACTAAACTATCCAAATTAATATTTTTGCAAGTGTTTCATAAGATTTTTCTTTAAATTTCGTTAACAAGAATGATAGGGGTAGTTTATTTCAACCCCTTCCACTCATTTTAAAAAAGTGAAAAAATTACCAGAAAGTGTGTTTTCATAACAGTAATGCTTCCATAAAATTTTATTAGTCCATCTCTTTTCGTTTTCAAGATAAAAAATAAAAACATTATTATTTTCCGCCATCTTTGTACCGCGATATCTCCCTAATGGTTGACTTTTGACCCAACGTTTATGAAGCAAACTACCCTTTATTTTGAACAAGGAATCGCCCCCTGAAGTTTTTCACATTTGTTTTGAAACACCCTGTATTATAGGGAAAAAAACTATACAATTCAACTTATGGGCGATATTCTAATATCTCTGAATCCATTATCTTTATAGAATATAAACCACAAAAAACCTCCACACTTCAAACCACAGCTTCAAACCTTCACCAAGGTTTAATAAAAAAAAAGGACGAAAATACGAACAAAAGGGCTTAAAACAAAAGGAATAAAAATGCTAAGAGCTTTTATAAACCGCACACTATAAGAATCCACTCATTAACATACACATATGCGTTTACTTATGAATGGGTGTTATAATGGTGTAAACACTCAATAGGGGCAGATGTTTTACGAATATAGTGCCCTTTTTTATAGCGCGAAGTATAATAATGAATATATAGGGTGTCTCAAAATACGTTGGTCAAACTTAGAGCCGCTGATTTGTACGATGCCTTTATAAAAGACGACACGTATAAAATTGTCCACATTTAAATGTTATACTTTTAAAAATATTTACATATTGATATGTTCCCATTACTAATAACTGGTTATTTAGTAGTAATTATATTAAAAACACTTATTTTTAATATGCATGTAAATTGATTAATAACACTGTTTTATCAGGAGTGTCGTTAAAATTTATGAAGCTTCGTTTTGATTCATATATTTTACTGATATCCTCCGCTGTAAATTTACAAACAAAACAAGCATTATCGTAAATATGTGTGTCTCTGTGTGTGATACAAGAAACAAGAACGTTAAGTGAAAGTATGATATATTGTCTTATGTAAATATAAATAAACACTTCCTTGTATATTGTTCTTTTCCAGACCGTTATGAAAATGAAATATATTTACGATTTTCTCGTTTTTCAAAAGTCCTCGCCAGTATTTCTGAGATTGAGACAGTTATTGTCGCGATCATATTTTATTGTTGTACTAAAAGTCTAGTTGTATAGACACGGTATAAAAGATATCAACTAGTTCCTGAATCGATTTGTTTTGATATAAAGCCCAGTCCACAAATAAAGCTGCCTGTTCAGATGCTGTTTAGTCAAAATTAGGGTTAGAAAAAATTAAAAAAGTTTGTCTTAATTTAGTTCAAATAGTTTTACAAGGTTTTCCTCGATACGTTTTAACTGCACAGGTAAGACTGACAGGTAAAACGCTACGTGTAGAAATGGCTTTAAGCATAAATTTTATTTTCTTTCAGTTTTCTACTGTCTATATTTACTTTTACCAACTATTTCATTCAATTTCTTTCGAACCCGACCTCAATATCCAGAGCAACAGTTGAAGGGAGGATCTTTCCCCGTAAAAACCCTCCCCAAATAGGGGTTAAATAGGGCTTGGGGCCTCGTGTCATCCCCATATGCACGGTGGCGGTGAAAATGTTATTTCGCAGGGGCTGGTAATTACAAACTGGGGATGAAACAGCCACCGTTTTACTTGTTAATTTTCGTTTGTGTTTGTTTTTGACGCTGGTATATAAACTGGGGCTTGTCATGGAAACACTTTTTTAATTATACCGGGTGCGTCTCGAAAGTGGCTCACTCCTATAAATTTTTTATTATTTTCATATAAAAAAAAAACGAGATTTGGTATGTTAGTATATGACATAAATTAGGATTGATTGACGTGTTCAATTGTTTTCGATCACTTCCTGTTTCTCCGGAAATGGCTACAATTTTTGATTTTTAAAAGACACCCTCGGTATTTTTTTATTTTATTCGATAGAAAATGACATTCTGAATAGAATGACATATCATATGTCAACTATTGACATTTTTGCTTTATGATATCTCGTTCTATTCAGAGTGTCATTTTCTATCGAATAAAGTAGAAATATACCGAGGGTGCCATTTAAAAATCAAAAGTTGTAGTCATTTCCGGTGAAACAGGAAGTGACCAAAAACAACTGAATACATCAATCAATCCGATTTTATGTCGTATACTAACATAGGAAATCTCGTTATATATTATCTGAAAAAATAAAAAAAATATAGGGGGTGAGTCATTTTTAAGACCCACCCGGTATATATTTTTTTTGTTTTTATTATTTTACCTATAATTTTTATTTATTCCTTACCGCCTAACAATGCAGTGAGAGGTTTTTTTGTCTATCTGGTGGTACGGATGACTGATGATTGACAGTTGTCATTTGTACCCTATAATTTAAATATTTAAAATATTCTAAAAAATCTGATATTTTTTTTTAAATGTCAACACCCTGCATTTTTAAAAGAAAATTTCTTGTGGCTATGTGATTGCAAAAACAACACCACCCTGTATAACAATTTCGAAGGTAGTGTGATTATATTTGTGAGAATCCTGTCCCAGGCGGTGTAAATTCGACCAATTTCGGTGAAAAAAAAAACAATTTCCAGTAACACGTTTGTGGCATTTCCTGATAACATTATTTCCAGGAAATAATAATGGAGTCATCAGAAGGGGCAATTTACCCTTCATCGAAGCCATAGACTGAGCAGGGGTCGCAAACTTTTCAATTTCAAAAACAGGAAATTGCTACTACGACAATTCGATCTAGTGTTTTTCTTTTTCAATTACAGTCGTATTTTAGTCGTTTATGAAAAAAAAATTGTCTTATAAAAACGAAGAATGATTTAAAAATAGTATTTTTCTGAAAGTCTATTTTTCTCAAATTTTTCACCAAGACCTTTTAACCTACATAAATTCTTATCAGAAAGAAAACGTTAGTTAACTGTTTGTGTAGACAAATTACATTCTTTACATGTTTTTTAGGTTTATAATGTCAATTACTATTACACACACCTACATCACTCTAATTATGACAGTCAGTGGTAAAAACCTATTATTATATACCTATCCAGTGGCTAGATAACGCATTTATAGTGTCTCTTCCGTAGTATAATCAGTGGGACAGATCGTTTAAAAATAACTCTCGTGTGTCCGTGTGTGACCGGCTAATAA